CTGCCGTGTGAAGTTGCGAGCTCTGTGCACTTTGCAAGCAAGCAAGCAAACTCGCTGGTGACGGGGTACCGAGTAGAAGAGCTGTCGTAATTGTGAAATGCTCCGTTTGCTGGGTCGTTGCTGTCCTGTTTAACCTTGGGTATCTTAGAATATCAGTGCATCGCCGTTACTAGTACGGCTGTCACCGGCGTGGTTTGGGTCCTTTAGCAGGAAAAGTTGGAGACTATGCACCCCGCAACTGAAACGGGTTTGCGGACAAGCGACCCTTTGAACTAAATTGATTCCTTGCCTGCTCCAAAACTTGGCAACAGAAGCATTGGCAGCTTCGTACTGACTCTGCGGTCTGAAATATCAACATCGCTTTCGACGGGTTCGTCTTCCTCCGGTGCACTCTCTGACTCAAAATGTACCAGAACTATGGCATTAGCATTGGTGCTGCGACCGTGTTGGCAAGATGCAGCAGCTTGTTGTTGTTTTCTGAACTTTTCAAGCCTTGAATTACTTGCAGTGTTGTACGAAGTTACTGATAGAGTTGCCAACGTTGCCGCTGACTCGCGGCTGAGGATACGAGGCCAGGGCGAAGCAGCTTACCCAAATTCGGGCCCAAAAACCTGTCAAAATCATCAGAAATTGTGTTTTAGATGCATTTTCTGGCCGAAAAAACTAGTTTCACGTGGTTTTCCTGGGTATCAAAATTTTGCATAATTAGCCACAAAGGTAGCCACAAGGTTTGTGGCTACTTTGTGGCTCCCAATTAGCCACTAGTGGCTACCTTGTGGCTGACAGCTATGTCAACGGCAGTGCGAAAGTGTCAGCCGTACAGTAACAATACAATTCAATTGTATTATACGGTTGGGATGCGCCGATTCCCCGAAAAAAAAGTTCAATTGTATTATACGGTTCAATTGTATTATACCACCCATTCCACGAAAAAGTGTCACAGATTTCGGCTTTTTTCGGATTTCTGCCGAAAATTTCCATCTGCAGGTCCGAAAATGGTCGGTTTCGAGATTTTGAGGACACGTTTGAATCCGTTGAGGACAGGGCTTTCCGAATATTTGGTCGGATAAAATTTTTGACCGACCCCCCCCCCGGAAATGGAGGTCGGCACCCGAAAAAATGGGGTCCTGGAGATCGGTTTTTTTTCTCTCTGCATCCAGGAGGGGGTCAGATTTTGATCGCTGGGCTAGCTGGCAGCTTGCCCATAATCGCGCATCCCAGAACTACTCGAAAACCAAAAGATTTCCCAAAAAGACCTCGAAAATAATTTCCAGACGGCTGCTTTTCACACCGAAAAATCGCAAAAAAAAAAATCGGACCGGGAGAATCGAACCATGGCCTACAGGGGCCCAGGAGGGGCGGTAACCGTTATGCTATGTTGCCAAACCTCGGGCCAAAATTCGCTTTTAGCGCCTGCTCAGTTGGAATTCTTATCGGAAAGTGCGAGATCGTCATTTACTCGTTTCCAGTGTCCCAGGACGGTATTTCTGCTCTCTCAGAGCTTATTTCGCCCGGTTTGCGAAGAACTCAAAATGAGTCCAAAGATTCTCACTCGGTAGTGAACGAAAGATTTTTCCGCCGGTAGGACGAGGGACCAAATTACCTCTATGAGGTGAACAACGACGGTTCGAATCCCACCAGAGAGACTTTCCAGGCGTTCGGGGATAAGCTCCCGGAAGCAAGCCCTAGCTTCGATTCCTTGGAGGTAGGACCAAACAAACAACGGAGAAAACAGCGGGTACAATGAACCCCTGTACTACCTGCAGGATTAGGCCGTCTAGCCTCGCCTAGGCTGCAGTAAAAGTTCCGCCAGACAGAACAGAACAGAACGCCCAACAACCCACCAGGTGGCTGAAAGCGGCCAAGGATGCAGAGTACTTGCTCGCACTCCGGTCGGATGATTATCAACCGTCCGCCATCCGCTCGCATGCCCCGTATCCACCATGGGGGCCCAAACCCGACATGAGAATCCACCTCGATTTGGCTTCCATTGTCTCCATCAACGACAGCAAGGCGGTCAAGCTCGATCATACCCTCCGGGCGATCCGTGCGCTCCCTCCAGCTGATCTCACAATATGCACCGATGGCTCAATGACTGGTGTCGGCAAGCGTGCGGTAGGGGGCGTTGGGGTTGCCTTTTACAACAGGTCTGGTCGATTCCTCCGCGGTCTCTCCTATCGGATGATCCGTTGCGCCTCCAGCTGCCATGCCGAACACGAAGCGGTCATCCGTGCGGCGCTACAACTCCAGACCGTCCCGTTCAACACGGCCAAAGTGACGGTCATACACCTGCTATCGGACTCCTTGTCTGAAGTGCAGCGACTGCAGAACCCCCGTCACGTTTTATGCCGCAACTGGAGGCTGATGAGGGTGCTCGCTTCCCTCCCCCATATTCGTGTGCACGTGATGTGGGTCCCGGCACACTGTGGTTTGGTCGGAAACGAGAAGGCGGACGACCTTGCGAAGCGCGGCGTCACTTCGGGCACGGCACTACAGGTCCTCGACTACTGGGCTGCCTCCGACCTGCTGAAACAAGCGGTCAACTGCCCCGTGCTCACTCGGGACTACATGTCTCATCCGCATTACCGTTGCACTGGTGGTCACCGACCTCTCGTGGACAATCGGTGGAATCGGCTCACTCAGGTAGCGGTTTCGCTGCTTCGAGTCAACCAGTCCCCAAGCGTTCACCTGAGAATGCAAGATTTCTGCGGGCACCTCTGCGCTGAGTCATTTGTCCCCGGACTGTCGGCATCCAATAAAGGGCACTGCTGGGCTTGTGGCTCCGGCTTCTCCTACGAACACCTATTCACAAAATGCCGGGTCACAGCCAGATACCTCGACCTTCTCCGTTGGCCGAGGCAGAAATGGACCTTGCGGGACATACTGGGTAGGTATCCCCTGACCGCTCTCCTGATTCTGCGCTTCCATCAGCTTTACGTTGGTGGATCCTTCTACAAACTTACTCAGTGATTGGATATTTTACAATGTTCTCAGTGATCGGATTACTGTTAGTTCGCCGCTTGTACTCACGAAACGGATTCTGTTAATGGATTGGTCACAATCTGGTACTGTCTGAATGCTCCTTCTCCCCCTACGTTGTAGACTCAGTTCTGGGCAACACCCCTTCTCTGGCTGACCTAAGTTCTAGTCCCTCCACATGTCCTCCCAGCCTGCGTTCCATCAACTTTTCGTTGGTGGTCCTTCTACATAACACTAAGAGATTGAATTGATTATTGTCGCTGCCACTACATTGTTCGAATCTGATTCGACTGACGATCTTTACCGACAGACAATTTAGCAGCCTAAGGGTAAGCTATTCTAACAACGACTATCTGGCGATGGTGGCATGAGTCACGGTCGGAGTTCTACTCCATGCACAGGAAGAGTCCGTCCTTCTTCTTTCCTAGTTTGACAAAAGGAACAAAAGAACGACTTGCCCGTACAAGTAAATGCAGTTCTCGCCCCCTGCATGTCTTCCGTAGTTGCTTACTCAAAAAAAAAAAAAAAAAAGCCTTTTTTTTTTTTTGAACTCAGGGACCAGTTTGGAAGCAGAAGCAACGAACGAACGGGGCCTAAGCTAGAAAACTGCCGCTTTTTTAGCCCATGGTCCAGAGGTTACCACACCCACACAGGGGTTTGAGGGTCGGTGGTTCGATTCCTGCCGGAAATCGTTTTTTTTGGGTTTTTGAAACAGCCCCAAAACCGACCTTTTGTCCATCTGCACGCCAGATTTTGGTCGCCACGCGAGCTGATTGCTTGCCCATAATCGCCAGGGATAGCTCTTGCCATCCCAAAAAAATTTCCCAAAAATTCCAAAATTTTGACCCAAAACGGGCTGCTTTTCAGACGGAAAATCTGTGACACTTTTTCGTGGAATGGGTGATACGGTTCAATAGTAATTAGCCCCCCCCAGTAGCTTGCATTGAAGGGGAGGTGGCGCTGCTCACCTGCCAGATCTATGCGGGTCTACTAGTAGCTGCTGCCCCTGAAGCTTTCTAACCATTTTGTGTCTACACGCGACTGTGTGAGAATGGTAAGAAATTGTTCGGACTGTGTGAGAATGGTAGCATTTGTTGCGACTGTGTGAGAATGGTAGCATTTGTTGCGACTGTGTGAGAATGGTAAGGAATTGTTTGGACTGTGTGAGAATGGTAGCAATTGTTGCGACTGTGTGAGAATGGTAGCATTTGTTGCAACCGTGTGAGAATGGTAAGAATTGTTGAAAAAGTGTGAGAATGGTGTTTACCCCGTATTAGAGGTAAAAGCCCAAGTACTTCGCCTCTCTACGAATGGGTAATGGGCACCAGCCCGAAAAAATGCGCTCGCCGGGAGTCGAACCCGGGCCGCTCGCTTGGAAGGCGAGAATACTGACCGTTATACCACGAGCGCTTGGAAGGCGAGATTTTTTTTTTTTTTTTTGTGCTCGCCTGTTGTAGGTCCCCTCCTTCCCACCGGCATCCGCTTTACAGGGCGGTGTTCTCTGAGCTTGTTGGACTAGGAGTTGCTTCCGGGAGTCCATCCCCAGACGCCTAGCTTTGGTACCGTGTTGTTTTTCTTCCGGAGTGGGGATCGAACCGGTGCCTCCAGCCAGGGGCCACTTTCAGCACCGACGACCTGACCACTCAGCTAGGTGCCCCCCAAAAGAGCGAGACGAGAAAAAAGAGAATTTTTTTTGGATGAGGCACCTTTTCCTTCTATCCTTTCTTTTTTGGAAACGAGAAGAATGAGAACACACAAACGCAAACGGTGGTGCCGTCATCAAAGGAAGAAACCAAAAAGGGAAAGGAGAGGAAGAGGCCAGCTTTACTGGGCTGCTTGTGCCGGGAAAATAAGAGAAAAATAGGTGCGTGGGAGGGTAAAAGCGCAGTTGACAGCAGACACGTCGAGATTTGAGTGATTTTGTCAATTCCCGCAGGGGGAGGTTTCCGTGCCCTGTGAGCGTGGAACCGTGGGTGGGCGCTCATCCTCCAGACCTGCTACGTGTTCAGTAGCTTTTGTGGGTACATACCTGATTGGCGTCCGGCCTGATCACGAAGGGAGTCGACGTATCAACAGTCCTTGCATTGCACTCTGCTTGGAATGTTGGTAGGGCCTGGGGGTAAAACCCCAGGTTACCACAATGAAATTTTTGGCAGCGGTGGTGCTGTGCTTGCACAAAACCACCTTCTTTTTGAAAGGAAAAAGTTGGACCCAACAGAATCAACCAGTTCAGTGTGGGCGGCGCACCGCAGTGAGGTGCTGGAAAAATAATTACGGCTTTCACACCTCCAAAAAGCTCAAAAAAACGAAAAAAAGTGTTGAAACCATAGTTTGGGCCTCGTTCTCGGGTTTAAAAAAAAAAATCCAGTTTTTTTTAGCCTGTGGTCCAGCGGTTCCCACACCCACACGTGATGCTGAGGGTGCTGGTTCGATTCCTGGCGGAGTGGTTTTTCCAAAGTCTAAAGTGGGTACGATTTCAGCTGGCCATGCTTGATTGCTGTGTTTGATACCCGCTCCAGAAATCGAGGGCTGCCTGGCCATAGACTGTGCCATAGTAGCTTTCAGGGGATTTCGCATCGCATAATCTACATCTCTCACTCATCTCTCCATTCAACCACTGTCATGTTGTACCCTCCTTGCCTTCGCTCGAAGAAAACAACTTCGGGCATACTGTTATGAGTCTTTTCTAGATCGACTAGATGAACAAAGCGCCTCTGTTGTTCCCCCATTCGTCTCTCTTTGCGTGAACTCGTTTTCCTCTCTTGCTGCGATTCTCCGGGGTAGAAAAAGGAAGCTGGCAAATGCCTGCCTATCTACACCTTGAAGAAGGTGACACAGCACTGTGCACCCACAACTTTCCCACAATGTGGGCAGAATAGCCACAACATTTACCCACAAAGTATTGTGGCTATTGTGGCTAGAATCTTTTTTATTGTGGCCCCGTGGAACTGGTCCAGAAAACAGCGTTTTCTGGACACCAACACAACACAATTATACATACGTTTTTCGATGATGTATCGTGTTGTTCTCGTGTCCCCACCTGTGTTTGGACTATCTGGTATGTCTCTGTGTGCTTGTCAGCCTGGGGCCACCCTGACTGGGGTACTGGCGGCATCCTCCTGGGGTGCTGTGCTTACTGTAGAAAAGTTGGTGAGGGAACTGAAGAACATTTTTTTGGGCTTTCTTGGCGAATTCAGATCGAGAACAGAGAGGAATTAGAGTGAAGTTCGGAGCTTCACCAGAAGTAAGGGGAACAGAGCTGATACATTCGAGGTGGTAAGCACCACCCCTCACCCCTGCCAGGGCACTGGCAAGCAGCAGTCTGGCGGAGGAGAGGTACTTCACTGAGTTTATGCAAGAGATATTCATAATGAGAACAGGGGGATTTTGGATGGGTGTGATTGCCAGTAATTATGACTCAGTAAAGAGCCCGGGCAACATTGTTAGGCGGTGATACATCATTGGAAGAAGATGTCTGACTCTGGGGTGGACTGGCATTTGTACCCTGCGGGCTGAGTGAGAACCACGGGGCAATGCAACTCTTTTGCTCTTCGGACAGCCGCATGGCAAGGCGTGTGAACATTCTTTTTTCTGTGGCTGCCTTCTTCTCAGATTCGGGTGCAAAGTGGTCGGCAGCAAGCTTCGGATAGTTAATCGCGATGATCGCCAAAGAAGATGCTTTTTGCGACTTTAAGGATGCGCGGTGCTTCGTTAACTGCCGCGAGAGGACCTTGAAGTTCCGTTCTACCGCAGCCTCGGTTGTTGTGCAGTTGGCAAGTGCAATGGCAAAGGAACTCAACACGGGGAAGTCAAGGCGGCGTGTGTGGGTGCTCCAGTATTTGAGGAACGAGCCTGCGCAAGCAGGAACAACCCCGTGGTTCCAGAACGTTGTAAGTTCGGTGGTTACCTGGCTCTCGCGATCTTTGAAGGTCCCAAGGGACTTCTTCTTCCGGTCGGCATAGGGAACAACGTGCTTGAGCACTTCATCCAAAGAATTTCTGTGGTGTCGCCGGGACCAATCCCCGTGGTTTTCCTTTGGGTTCAGGGTGCTGAAAAGAGAGGTGGCAGCAGATGTGAAGTGACGCTCCTTCCTGGTCTCCCAGATTTCCGAAGCTTCCTTCGCTCGAAGGTTTCCTTTTCGCATCTTTGCAGCATGCTGGTCCAGGAAGGCGAGCACCCCAAGAAGTCCCTCCAAAGTCATTCGGTCCGATTGGACAACATCTGTGGCAATGGCAAATGGGGCACAGATGTCGATCAACTGGTTAAGGTCGGACCAGTATCGTTCCCAGTTGGTGCCGTCTCCCGACACAGTTTCGATGTGGGCACTGAGCTCTTTCTGGCGAAGCATGGCATCGTACATACTGTTCCATCTCACAGTGGTGAAGCAACGAAGTCCTTTGATCTGAGTGTTAGGAACCTGAGCTTCTGCCTGGGCTGCCTTCAGTTGTTCTGCCCCCTCCTTGTGCACGTACTTTTCGTTTTCGACAAGGAATCTTTTCTTGAACGCTGAGAAGCGGTCGATGTCGAAGATGTCCTTGAGGACAAGCTGGAGGCTGTGGGCCCCACACCGAAAGACGAGGAGCCCACGATAAGCAAGGTGCTCTCTTGTCGCATTCAGCGCATCCTCGGCAGGCATCCCGTCTGCGTCTTGCTCTGCTTCCGACTCGTCCGATTCACTTTCGTCCCCCAGCTGGTCCAGTGCGCTCTGCATCGCCGCTGCGTTGTCCGCCACAGCACCAACAACGGTGATCCCCCCTTCGGTGAGTGTATCCAGAATCTTGTCCAGGCATCCAGCGATAGCTGCAGCAGTCATTGAACACTTCACCTCTATATCACCGTAGTGATACACTGTGTTTCCACAGGCGAGGGACACACCAAGAAATGTTCTGCGGCATTTCGTTGCCGCATCCACGAGGAGGCAGACATCTTCCCCGGCAAGTGAGGCGAAGAGCTCTGTCATGAGCTTCTCTGCAAGCAGCGCTGTCTTCTGGCTGAGTTCGCGTCTCGTCATGATGACATCTGCCTTGAGCAGAGAACGAAAGTCCGGCGACTCAATGATGTGGAACGGGAGGTGGTGCTTGGCAAACGTGAAGACAACATGCTCATCCAGTGGCAACCCCCGCACTGTTGGCGAAACAGCAATGCGACGCTGCTTCGCGGTGCTCGCCTTCTCGTTTGCTGCTGCTTCCGCTTTTCTCTTTCTCTCTTCAGCCCTCTCCCGGATGCCTCGCTTTGCTGCCTCAATCGCCTCGTGGTTGTGGTACGTATCGTAGTGGCGTTTTGGTGTTCCCTTCTCGTTGCGCATCTTTGGCATGTGTGTGCACCCTTCCAAACGACACATGGCTAGCCCGTCTTCGAGAACCTGAAAGTAGACATGGAAGTCCCATGTCTTGCTTGATGCACTAGTGTAACGCGGATCGTCTGGTCGTGCAAGTCCGTCTTGTGTGAGGTTCCCGAGCACTGTGCCTGCAGGAAACCCCTTTGGACCAAAGTTTGGTGCTGGATCTGCGGCATAGCTGTCAGCCACAAGGTTGCCACATTGTGGCCCCATTTAGCCACAAAGTAGCCACAAACCTTGTGGCTACCTTTGTGGCTAATTATGCAAAATTTTGGTATCACGGAAAACCGCGTGGAACTAGCTTTTTCGGCCAGAAAATGCATCTGAAACACGTTTTCTGACGATTTTGACAGGGTTTTGGGCCAGAATACGGGTTAGTTGCTACACCCTGGGCTCGGCATCCTGGTTGCGCACCCTGGGGTACCATTGGTAAACGGTTTACTAAACCGCTACTGCTACTAAAGTAGTAGTAGGCATTATGCACACAGAATCATGCATAATTCAGGTTGGCGAGAGTGACAGACCCATTCTACTTGCAAAGCGCTTACCATTTCTGTCCTGAAACCCTCTGAGAGGGCCTCTCAACCAGCGACCGGCGCTCTCCGAGCCTCTTGAATGACCCCAGAGGAGGAGTGGGAGAGAGCGGCAAGTACCGCCGCAGCCAAACAGATTTGAATGCTGCCAGAAAGCTGCAAAGAAAACGTGGCAGCCGTCTGATAATAGTCAGGAGCTGGCGGATGGTGACTGAGCTTGAGCTCCCTGCCGCGGGCCTGCGGCCCGTGCTGCCCTGCTGGACTGGTATTGTCGCAAGTCAGTCACTTTCAACTTTCCCTTGTGCCTTGGCTGGGCCTGTGCTACAGGAGCCTGCGAGGAATTTCCAAGACGTGTGAGAGATTGCCCCCGCTACTTTTCTCGGATCTTTGGCTCCTCCTTGAACTCTTTCGGACGCTGATTGCAACAAGTGTAACAGTGCCACTCAGTGACAGCTGTTACAGGGAGTCAGTCACACTGTCAGTGTGCTCCTGCTGTACTATCATAGTAACTATGCCTGCTGTCGTGTGAAGTTGCGAGCTCTGTGCACTTTGCAAGCAAGCAAGCAAACTCGCTGGTGACGGGGTAGCTTGCACACCGAGTAGAAGAGCTGTCGTAATTGTGAAATGCTCCGTTTGCTGGGTCGTTGCTGTTCTGTTTAACCTTGGGTATCTTAGAATATCAGTGCATCGCCGTTACTAGTACGGCTGTCACCGGCGTGGTTTGGGTCCTTTAGCAGGAAAAGTTGGAGACTATGCACCCCGCAACTGAAACGGGTTTGCGGACAAGCGACCCTTTGAACTAAATTGATTCCTTGCCTGCTCCAAAACTTGGCAACAGAAGCATTGGCAGCTTCGTACTGACTCTGCGGTCTGAAATATCAACATCGCTTTCGACGGGTTCGTCTTCCTCCGGTGCACTCTCTGACTCAAAATGTACCAGAACAATGGCATTAGCATTGGTGCTGCGACCGTGTTGGCAAGATGCAGCAGCTTGTTGATGTTTTCTGGACTTTTCAAGCCTTGAATTACTTGCAGTGTTGTACGAAGTTACTGATAGAGTTGCCAACGTTGCCGCTGACTCGCGGATGAGGATACGAGGCCAGGGCGAAGCAGCTTACCCAAATTCGGGCCCAAAAACCTGTCAAAATCATCAGAAATTGTGTTTTAGATGCATTTTCTGGCCAAAAAAACTAGTTTCACGTGGTTTTCCTGGGTATCCAAATTTTGCATAATTAGCCACAAAGGTAGCCACAAGGTTTGTGGCTACTTTGTGGCTCCCAATTAGCCACTAGTGGCTACCTTGTGGCTGACAGC